ACCCCATCCGCCGAGGAAAATGGCGGTTGTGATAGCGACACCGATCAGGATAGCGTCGACGTTGCTGATCTCGGGGAAGGTAGTGATGCGCCAGAGGAAATAAACGGAGGTCGAGATGATGGACGCGGAGGTGATGAGAAGGCCGATCTGGGGATGTCAGTATATTGTTCCAAGCACAGAGAGAAAAGTCGTACCATCCAGCTGTCGCCACGTTCCTTGTTTACAACCCATTTGGTGATCTGGCCTGCGGCTTGAATGACCAGAAGACTGCAGAAGCCCTCGGCGATCTGGAAGACGGGTGTGCTGTATCGCAGAGTCTTGTCCCAGGCGCCTATCGATGCACTCTGCAGCAGTCCTTCACTCCCAAAGATCCATTCCTGAACACTCTCGAAGTCGGCTCGCTTGCCGCCAAAGGTGCGTTCGACCCAGCCCGAATTGGCGTCGGCATCGATGGAGAACTTGTTGAGACTCCAGATCAAGAGGGTGGGTATGGCCAGCCACTGCGCCCAAGCTATTACATTACACAGAAACCATCTGAAGCGCGAAGAGTCTGGCGTGGCCAGGCGCAGTATCGAGTAGACGAAGTAGTAGGCGCTGAGGGAGAGGGAAAAGGCGAGGCCACAGGTGCGGCCGCCAATGTCGAAGGCGAGGGGTATGGTGAAGATGATGGCGCCGAGGAAGGTTGTCGACGAGACTACCCGCGATGCTGTAGCCCACATGCGGACGCCGGCGTCGCCAAGCTCGTGCAGCGACGAGCGTGGCGTCTGAGCGGGGCGGCGGGGGAGGTGCGAGGGGATTGAGGCGCGATGGACGCGCAGGCAGCGCGGGAGAAGCTGGTGGGAGTCACTCGAGGGGGAGTGGGCGTGCGGGAGACGTGGTTGAAGATTCGCGAGCAGCGGCCTGGCTATCGATTATCTTCACGTGTCAATCTCGCTAAGTGCAATGCTCGAGCGTCGCGGAGCGGGCTGCACTGGGCTTGGGCTGGCCGGCGGCTGGGGGGTGAGGTCGCTCGGCGGGGAGCAGGCTGCAGGGCGAGGAGCGGTGCAGGAGAGGCTTTGGTATTGCTATCGATACGATATTGAAGCTGCTCTGTGCGAGTAGGCACGACTTGGGGCTACGGATGGATGCGTGCTCGCGTGCGCACTCGGGGAACAGCGCACGATGATGATGGCGACGGCGCGAGTCTAGGCCTGGCCGTCGTGCGTCTGCCGTCAGACAGTGTCTTGAATCCTCCTGCCTGCTCTTGCTGCCTCCGACTGTGACGAGCTTGCCGTGCTTGCTTTTGCGTATCCCACCTACTAGCGCCCGCGGATCCTGCCAAGCCCAGGTGCCCGCCGCGGGACCGTCTTCTTATGCGAAACTTCTACTAGCAGCAATTGCATGTTCAAACTACGACCTTTGTTTGCCAGACAGTCGCGAATCGCCTGGAACACATACAAGCCACCCACACCAAACTACTTTGCCAACTTCTCTGCAAACTACGCCCGCACCATGGCCGAAAGCCCCACCAAGAAGCTCAAGACCGACGTGCCTGTCATTGGCACGCACAATGGCCACTTCCACGCCGACGAGGCCCTTGCCGTCTCCATGCTGAAGGAGCTACCCACCTACCGCGACGCCCAGCTCATCCGCACCCGTGACCCCGCCGTCCTCGCCGAATGCCACACCGTCGTCGACGTAGGCGGCGAGTACGAGGACGACAAGAAGCGCTATGATCACCACCAGCGCGGCTTCGAGGTCGTCTTCCCCGGCCACACCACGAAGCTCTCCTCCGCCGGTCTTGTCTACATGCACTACGGAAAAGATATCATCACCGCCGTGACTGGTCTGGAAGGCGCCGACCGTGATCTTCTGTACGAGAAGATTTACACCGACTTCATTGAGGCCTTCGACGCCAACGACAACGGCATCAACGTTCTTGCGCCCAAGGATTTGGAGAAGGCAGGATTGGAGAAGAAGTTCGAGGACCGCGGCTTCAGCATTGCCAGCGTAGTGAACCGCTACAACTATGGCAACAAGTCGCCGACTGCAGACGAGACCAAGACCCCAGAGGCCAAGCAGGCCGATGAGGACTTCCGATTCACCAATGCATCTCGCTTCGTAGGCGAACAGTTCCGCTGGGAACTCCTCGACCGCGCCCGATCGTGGCTTCCCGCTCGTCACCAGGTCAGGCAAGCCTACGACGCCCGTCTCCAGTACGATCCTCAGGGACGCATCCTGGTCCTTCCCGAAGGCATGCCGTGGGCCGACCACCTCTACAACTTCGAGAAGGAGGCACAACAGCCACAAGGCGTTGCCCCCCAGGTTCTCTACGTGCTCTTCCCCGAAGACAAGCCCGAGGGCAAGTGGCGCATTCGTGCCGTCAGCAAGGAGAACGGTGGCTTCGAGAACCGCAAGGACCTGCCCGATGCGTGGAAGGGTGTGCGCGACGAGCAGCTCGACCAGGTCTCTGGTATCCCGGGCTGTGTCTTTGTGCACGCCGCTGGTTTCATCGGAGGAAACAAGACGTTCGACGGTGCGCTCGCAATGGCGAAGAAGGCATTGGAGTTGTAGATGGTCATGACGGAGTGAAATGAACACTGGGTTGAGTGTCTCACACGAAGCAACGAAAGTTACTTACACTTTGCATATGCATGGTTGGCGTTCTGGCAATTTTATACAAAAGTTATGATACCAATGATACACTTGGTTAGATGAATCATGAAAATACATGATTAGCCGTCGAAAGACGACAATGACTTGCTCTCTTCTTGCGATGAATTTGTATTTGTCTCCATCGCAGCCTTAGGGCCTTCACTCGTTTGTATTGAGGTTATTACAATGCTTGCTCATTGCAGCAAACGTAGAAAATTGAAGTAATCATCATGAATTCTATTCGTCATTGATGTGTGATACCTTCGTCAACGCACTGGAGACACGCATAACCGAGGACTTCCATCCCACTACACGTCGTGGATCACACTCCCAAGCCAATGACCGCCTTGCGCACACGACAGCTGGAAGACCCTGATTCTTAGCTTGTTGCGCGAGCCAAATGCGCAGCTAGATCTTCAGTGCAAGCTTCAGGTACTCCACGCCCTGCGTCAAGTCTAGAAGAAGTCCACCAACGAGACCTGGCCAATTCGGGTCGAGACGTCATACGGGGAGAGTCGGGATGACTGGGCCAGACGCCGCTGAGAGTGGCACACGACTCGTACCCGCGGCTGTCAGCGTCTCGGCTGTGATTGGCTGGAAAAGTGGAAAGGCGGCTGTCCGTGGCGAAGATTTTGTAGATCCGCAAGACGTGAGGTCGGATAGAAGGCTCTCGTACACTCGTTTCACATTGCTTTCTTACCAACGAACCAGAACATCGCGACTTTCTTGCTTTTTGATTGTTTGACAACGCATCTGTGTCTAACTCCTTACACCGCACTTTAATCGGCACGACTTTGCGGAGAAACAAGAAACAAAGATACAGGGCACGAGCGGTGAAAAGCGTTGAGCACTTCCCGCTTTCCCCGACGATCGTTTATCGCCAGCGCACGGCCTGCTTTTCGGCCTTTGCCCACCCGTCTCCAAACCTTTTGCACCCTTTACAATTCACAACCCACCTCAACTCCACACTACAGCTATCACAGCTCATCAATACATACCATCGGATTCTCGGGTTCGAATCACTGCGAACACGTCACATCGAAGCGACAACGAACATTGCCCGACCCACACGACAGCGCACACGACCACACGATGAAGTACTTCCAGCAGACAGTCGACTTCGACTACACGTGGGAAGAGGTCTCGACGAGCAACTGGCGCAAATACGGCCCCTGGAACGAGAAGACACCGCATGTCATCGCCGTCGACACATTAAGCCGCTCCGTCGACCCAGCGACAGGAATTGTAAGTGACTCCTTCTTTCACATGCCAATTCGGCGCGCCCCACCAGCCTCACCGAGCAGAAAACTAACACTCCGCAGCTCCGCACAGAACGTCTCATCACATGCCAGCAATCCACGCCCAAATGGATACAAACCATTCTCGGCGGCCAGGACACATCCATGGTCTACGAGACCTCCTACGTCGACCCCGTCGCCAAGAAGCTCACCCTCTGCTCCATGAACATGACATGGTCCGACCTTCTCAACGTACGCGAGACCTGCATATACCACCCCGTCGCCACATCGCCCGATAAGACCGCCTTCACCCAGCGCGCCGAGATCACCGCGCTGTGCGGTGGCTGGCAGAAGATCAAGAACAGCATTGAGCAGTTCACTGTTGAGCGCTTCCAGCAAAACGCTGCCAAGGGCAAGGAGGGCTTCGAGATGGTGCTTGAGCGCGCGCGCCAGGTATTCCAGGAGCAAAGAGAGATTCTCGCGCTGCAGCAAGCGCAGCAGGACAGCCGGATCCTTCGCCAGGCCAAGATATAAGCATGAAGAGTAACAGCTTTCAGTTGCCTTGCCCTTGACAGTCCGACTCGCAAGCGCTGCGAATTTTCCGACCAACATCACCACACGGTCTTTCGGTCCACTCCGCTCGATCTTTTCCCATCCATCTCGACTCTTACAATTCAACACCATTCAAGCGTTCTTCATACCTGGGTGGGATCCTTCCTTTTTTTCACTGCAAAAAGTGCACTTCAACGGCGTTATCAAAAGCATGGGAGAGGCGCAGATACCCTTTTCACTGCATACTAGACGCCATTATGCATTATATACACGATAGAGACGAACCCATATACAAGGAAGCATTATTAGATATTTTGAGTAATCAAATGAAAGATTATCATCAGACTGTCTTTTCGGAAGTTTGGAACTGAGATTGTGATGGGTTTGGGTCGACCGTTCAACCAAAAGTGAGGATGCCGTCACTACTGTGGTCGGAGGGTAGGTGATGGCATCTACTTGTAATACACCATGCACGATATCAAGAACTCAACAATTTCCTTTCCACTCGCATTTCCCCCCCTCCACCAACTTCATTAATCTCATATATCACACAACCCTTCATATCTCTCCACAGCCATGGAACACCGCCCTCTCAAGCGCCGCCGCAGCACCTCCAGCATCAACGATCACGACAATTCAAGTGTGAAACGTCAAAAAGTGTTAGCGTCGGTGTTCAAGCAACTTCAACAGACGGCTGAAGAAGTCAGATGCGCGCTCAACAGTGCGAACTGGTTGTCTGTGGAGGAACGGGTGCGTGCTGCTTTGATTATTGATCATGTGGAGATGATGTCGAGGATGATGGAAGAGGGTTATGAGTTTGGTGATGGGGATGAGGAGATGGAAGAGGAGGAGGATGAGAGGGAGTATGAAGACGGAGACGGAGACGGAGACGGAACCGAAGACGATGCTGGGGATGTCATCGAAGAGATTGCGAATAATGGCCTCGACAATACTTTTGTTGAGGATGCAAGTGGATATTTGGAGGGGGGCGGTAAGAATGAAGAGAGTGGCAGAGAGGAGGGTGATGATGAAGATGGAGATGGAGATAGTGGTGGAGAGGAAGCAGACGAGGAGTTTTACTCGTCGCGGATTAAGAGGGGATTAAGCTTTTCAGCGGGTGCGATGCTTATGGCATGCACCGAGAGTGAAAGTGGCTAAAATGTTTAGGGTGGCTGCATCGCAACGCGAGATTGTTAGGGGTTTGCCCAGTTGACGATGGATGTTGCGCATTAGCTTTTTCGGATAGAAGGCTCTTGATGACTTTACTTTGTTGCGAGATACCTAGGTAATGCTACGAACGGAAGTAGCCATACCGCAGTAGAGGCGTTTAAGGGATGCTGTGATAGGGTCTGTGCGTTGATCAACGCGTACCAACAAGGCACGATCTGTTTTCGCGCTACATGAATTCGTCTTCGTGCCACGGCTTGCAATGCATTAGAGGAGCAATGGAACAATCACATCATGTCTCGACAAGGGTTACGATCCAGACGGCAGATACTCCGAAAAAGCAATAGTTCTTCCTGCCGCGTCCAAGCCCAGACTACGTCATTTCGTACCAGCTCCCAACACGTAAAGTCTTCCTCTTACCGCGCGAAAGATCCCACATTTCCCTCTCGTTTAGCAAATTGCGACACTCTTCGTCTTTAGCATCAGTCCGTAAGGCTCAACGACTATGGAACCACCTCTCAAGCGGCAGCGTGCTGACAGTGCCGACACCGTACCTTCCCATCCGCCTACTACGGCATCAAATGCAGATTTGCTCCCAACAGCAGAACCACCTGCACCAATAAACACAGATTTCATCAGAACCATGATAAACACTCTTGATGAGGGAGCCATGGACATGCCATTCGCCACGACAAGCTTCAGCCATCGTACCCTCCTCAAGATCGCGAAGAGTGACGCCACAATCGCAGCCACAATCCAAGAAGCCTACGACGCCTACATGGCGAAGGAGAGAAACACAAGCGCCGACTTCAGAAAAGTTCTCGATGACTTCAAGTGGACTATCCCTGGCGTGCGTGGATGTGCGGACGATGCCGTACCGCCCGAAGAGATCCCCGTCTTATCTTCCCAAATAAAGGGTGCATTCTACAGAAGCGTGGCCGAGATTTGCGGGCGAACGCACGACTATTCGTCCCTCGGCACTAAGAAGAACGCGTTGGATGCGCTGAGGAAACTGGGCGTCATGCTAGTCAACACCCCGGACAAGAAACTGCGCGCTGCAGTCGCAGATCGTATCAAAGATGTCGAGAGCCAAGAATACGTCAACGGCATGTACCAAATCGCGCGCCACATAAATGTGGACCAGCGTGAAGAGGTGTGTATGATGCCGGTGAACGAATCAATGGATTTCCTAGCCCGACCTAGAATGGATTTCCTAGCCCGATCTAGAGATGAAGAGTCTGTAGAACCTACAGGGCAATTTCAAGAGAAATTGAAGGAGCTGCAGAGGGAGTTGAACAATGCGGGGTTTCCCATCCGTTTCAGTATTGTTCACCAGGAGTTGGACGTAACGCCGGAGGATATTCAAGATGACCTGGACAACGGTGTCGAAGATAACGGAACTCCTGAGCCTGATGATTACTCGGAGTGAGAGGGTATACGGCGGAAAATGCGATTACGAAAGGATAACGTCTTATGCTAAGTTTATGAACATTGTCTACGAACTTTGCTATACAGCCCTGTTGTTCAGCTACTTTTGTTGCTAGCTCACCCCCTCACTCGTGAAGTTTATTTGGGTCGACTCCTCAACCTTGGTGCGGATACCATCGGCACTATTTGTGATAACTTGCGAACACCTTCATGGACCATTTCACACCAGAATACCATGAACGGCGCTTCCACACACAGCGACAAACATAGGGCGCACATTACTAATAGCTTCGCTTTCGTCGTTGGCTAGCTGACCCCTCTTTCTTTCCCCATATTATAAACTCCGCGCATGCAGCCGCTCTAGGTGTACTCCATGCTCCATGCTCCTACTCAGTGGGGTCCTCCCAATAAGGTGGCGTACCATACTCATCCTCGGAACCGTCCTCGCCATCACTTCCATCATCACTCCCCTCCTCATTCCCACGACCCCACCAAAACAGTTCCTCACTAAAACCATACAAATGCATGCCACAAATCAACCATGTCTCACCAAGACGTTCCCTCAGCTCCTGCATCTTATCCATGAACCGGTTTCCCCCTCGGCGCATCTCCCCCGTAGTCGCCACCGTCGCCCCATCTACTGGCATATTGGCCAGTTCTTTGCGCTCTTGCCCAGACATGTCTCTGAGGATCGCAAGCATGCCGAGACAGTACTCGTCGGATTGGTCCTCTGTAATCCACCCTGGAAGCCGCTTTTGCAATTCTTTGTCCCGTGTATTGAGCCATGCAAATGCCATTCGTCTAAGCGTATCCAGCGCCGACTTCTTCGTTTCAAACGACGAATATGAGTATGTTTGGCGCCAAATTTCGCGCATCTTTGTGATGAAGCAGTTTGCAATTCGTTCTGGATTTCTTGGTAGGTGTGCTGCCTTTGCTTCTTCATGATGTATGACCTCTCTAAGCGCATCGACACAGTATGAAAAGTCTTTGCGCTGCTCTCGTTCTACCTGCATCTCTTTTTGCCGTTGCAGATGGGAATGGTACTCTTGCCGGATTTGGGCTCCGATCGAAGGGTCGCGGAGATTCAGTTTGACGAGCATGGTCTGGCTGAAAGTATGATCTGTTTGTGACTTGTCGAGGGCACTTAATGCCGTCCAAAGGTCGTAAATCGGTATATTCGGGTTCGTTGTGGTAGATGATCTGGCTATTGTGGATGGATTTACGTCGCTCTCGGCACGCTGTCGCTTGAGTGATGGCTCCGTCATTTTGTTCAGCAGATAGATTATGAGCGTGGTGCAACTCGCGTTTTGCGCAAAGGCGAGGAAGAGTGAACGTATTGTCGCGACAGCGTCGCGAGGTTGCGCGATCCGGCAGGTTCCACCGCGAAAATAAGAAGGTCATCTTAATAAGTGGAGCATCTGTACTGGATCGTGATCTCTATTCCATCCGGAAAAGTCCAAGTTCTTGCAACTCTCAACCTGGCCTTCTCTCACATCGACGTTCGAAGCCCAATTACGAGCCCTCTCATTGGCCGCTCCACCCACTAGTCTAGTGGGTCCACATTAGGCGGCTGAGGGATCAATTCAAACGCAGTTGAGAGCCTCATGCAACGCAAAGATTTAAAATTGGTGCTCAGCTGGTGGCTGCGCAGATGCTGGCGGCGTACACGACTTGAGATAAAAATACTAGACAAGGGCACTAGAAGCTGTCGGTAATGGGAAGTCCTAACATCAATGACAAGAAGTCAGCCCAAACTCGGATTACAGATCAGCATCTTCTCGCTATCTCCTTCTTGTGTTTGGCCAATATCCATCGGTTCATCGCGTCGGTTTGAGGGGCGCCGCAGAAGTTTTAACAGCCCAACTACTCTTCTTTTTTCGAACTTTCATCCACAGACTTTGTGCCATACATTTCGCACCTGGTAACATCTGACGAAGGGCTTCCCTCATATTCCTCTTAGGCTTCTTCTTCTTCTTCTTCTTCTTCTTCTTCGCCCTCGCCTTCCCCGTCCTCGTCCGTCTCATCCTCACAAGTAAGATTTGCGACCACGTCTTGGAGCCCCTCGAAAACGCTATGATCGTCGGCAAGCTCCTTGAGTTGCTCCATTGCTTTTAGGAACGGCCTACCCGAATATTCTAGGGCACACACCCTCTCGCATTCCTCCACGCTCATCTCGTCAATCACGGCGTTCATTGAGCTTTCCAAAGAGTCATCCACCTGGAAATGATTACGGATTTGTTTACCGATCTCCTCTTGGCCTCCACATATCGACACTGCAATGCAGCGCAGAGCTATAAGCGCGTTTATCTTCGTTCCGAGAGAAGCATACTCCTGAGTGGCTTGTTCGACAATGAGTGTAAACGCTTCTTCTATTTGTCGTATGACGTCGGAAGCGGCGTCATATTGCTCGGAACCGCTCAGATCCATGTAACGGTCTTCGATTGAATAAATCACTTTATCGGCGTGACTGCTGAAACTGATGACCTTGTGACGCTCTCGCTCAATGTATTCCTCTTTGTGATTGCGCAGGGTTGCGGCGATCTCTGGTGTAGCTAGAGCTGCCTTCAGAAGTATTTGCTTGGTGAGCTCGCCATCGTCGTCTGCATACAGCAGCAGTTCGATGCAATGCTGAAGATCAGCTTTGGCGTAATAGTCGGCGAAAAGGTCGGCGAACGTTGGCTGCGCGATTGGACATTGGTCGGTGTCGACGCGCTGGCGTTTACGTGGTGCTTCCATGCCGCTTTCGACTTCGTAGGACGTGGGCGTGATGGTAATGTATTGTGATTTCTTGATGTATACCTAGGTAGTTGTGACGCGTCGCGTCAGGATGTCCAAGATAAACACGCGCGTTGCGCGGAGATCCGTTGAGACAATAACATGAGAAGCGGGAGCTGTCTCGGAGCGACTATAGGGGACGCGTGTTTATTTTTTGCCGTGTCACCGTCTCCGGGAAATGAGTATAATGATCCGGGTTAAAAAGTTATTGATCCGGGTTAAAAAGTTATTTGTCCTGGTTAATTAGTTCTCTTTCCTAGTCACTTTTGGCGCTAGCGAAAGTTATTGATCCTGGTTAAGGAACACCAAAATCATGTGACGGTCTGCATCAACGCCTGGCTCGACTTCCTTGCTTTACGCGTATCTCGCATCTTTACGAAGTGTTCTCTGACCAGCATCAGAGAGACAACCTTGGCGCCTGCCTGCTGAAGACGAAGGAGACATCGACTAGCCAGGGGTATGATGCAGCGACTCACGCGGTAATTCGTGTGATGACATTGGCTTCTTGTGCAGCTATTTCTTCAGTGGCAACCTGCCGACATTTGGAAGGTAGAGACTGCGACTGCTTCGACTATGTAATGACGATCATACGACGAAGATGGGCGGACGCATTTAGAGAGTCTGTCGAGGTGGCTGGAATACCGCAAGTCTGATGGAAACCATGATGCTGCAGCAAGTGACGAGCATGTGGGGCAAGGTGCGACTGACAGCTTATCTCCGGGCTGCGCGCCCAACACTCAACGCCTGATTCACACGCCGCAACAGCAGTCGAATACAGCGAAGGGTGAGTAGGCATATGGTGTAAAGGTGTTCGAAATCAGCGTAATGCCATCAAAATGGGCCTGCTGCATGACTTTTGTTGACGTATCTAGCCCCTTCTAGAGCCACATTCTCTACACACACTTCTGGCACTCCAGAATGAAGCAAGTAGACGCAGAAGACCCCAGAATGGGAGGTGCACCCAGCGTCACACTTCCAGAAACATCAGCCGCTCTTAATGTAGAAGAGTACGCATCGCAACCACAAAGTCAAGGTCGCACAGGTTTCCCAAAACAAGGTGGACAGTCGCTTTCGTATTGGTTACAGCAAGTTCGATGCGATCCTCTCCTAGATCACCGCACTACCGATGAGCTACCACAACAAGCCGATACGGTCATAATTGGATCTGGTATCACAGGGACACTTGTCGCGAAGCACCATCTCGAGACGTTCCCTGGGAAGAAAGTCGTTGTACTCGAAGCGAGAGAGTTCTGCTCCGGCGCAACAGGTCGCAACGCTGGCCATTGCAAACCTGATCAATGGCGGGGTTACGGGAAACACGCCAAAGCGTACGGCCATGAGCAGGCGGTAAAGATCCTGGACAACGAGCAAGCTACGTGGGAAGCGTTGGTGGCATACGTTAAGGAGAACAACGTGGATTGCGATCTCTGGGTTGGAGAGACGCTGGACGTTCCTCTCAATGACGAGGTTGCGAAGATAGCTAAAGAACTATTCGAGAGATACGCGGAAGCAGGTGGAAAGGTCGACCATATCCAAGTTACCCACGGTGGCGAAGCGACGCAAAAGTCTCGGATCAAGAATGCGAAAGCATGCTACGGATGGCAGGCATCGACTCTCCAGCCGTGGAAGTTGACTGCACATATCATGCGCGACAATATCAGCAAGGGCGCCAATCTACAAACTCGCACTACTGCGAATTCAATCTCAGACGGGACAGGATCTCGGAGATGGATGGTCCATACGGAGCGAGGAGACATCGCATGTGACACCGTGGTGCATGCTACGAATGCATACAGTGCAGCACTCGAGCCATCACTTCGCGGTATCATCACGCCCAAGCCGCATATGTGCAACAGAGTAGTTCCGGCGCAAGCCTTCAGCGGATCCAAAGCTATTAGCAACTCCTATGGAATCCTGCTACCGGATGGTGCGTTCTTCAGTATCAACCCGCGTTCGTCTTCCGATGGCAACATTATGTTCGGTGGTTCCAATCCAGGTCAAAAGGAACTGGATGCGTGGGTTGAGAAGAACCCAGAAAACTGCATCAATGATGGAATCGCGAACCTGGAGAGTGTGACAAAGCACATCAGGAACTTTGCAGAATCTGAGTTCGACGGTTGGAAAGCCGGCCCTACAGGTCCCGGGGAAGGCTTTGAGTATAGTTGGAGTGGCATCATCGGGCTGAGTGCGGATGGTGTGCCGTTCGTCGGAGAGCTACCCGGAAAGTCTGGTCAATATATCTGTGCCGGCCATCATGGACAGTAAGTTCAATAGTCCACGAAGAAGTGCGAGGCTAACATCGGGACAGTGGGATGGGGCGAATCTTCACAGCAGCACCTGGCCTGGTGAAACTCATGAATGGAGAAGCCTGGAGTGCGACGGGATTGCCGGAGGCATACCAGATGACAGCCGAAAGGCTCAAGAAACTGGCGAGTATGGAGCCTGCACCTGCCATCGCGGTTATATGAGGAAAGGAGTTCGTACTTGCATGACTCGCGCACCTGAACCGTCCCTTTCCTTTCTCTTAGCTACCAAAAATAGCACGCAGAACCACAAGAAAACACGAACAGCGCACAACTTTCCGTAACCATGTCTGGGACGCTTGCGCGACCGCAATTTCGACCCCATCACCTGCAGTGGTTCACGAGCGTAAGAGGCGGTGAACTGTCACAGTCGGAACCGTGAAATCGCATGCCACAATCCACACTTTTCCTCTTTTCTTTCCTAACGCAGTAACTTTGTAACTCATCTTCTGCTCGCCCTGGCTTTAGATCGTGGTAGCGAGGCCGCAGCGGTAATTTGCTTGGTGTTGTGCCGCTGCGTAGCTTATTGGTTTGGGTGTTGTGGAAATTTGACACGGCGGTGTCGTGCTAGGTGGTTGTTGCCGGTAGCGAGGGAATAGGCAATATAACGGCAGGGGCGATAACGGTTTGTACGACCGTAAGCGCATGGCTCTGCATGGGAGGTTACATCTTCAGATTCTCGGTTTGCAGCCTTGTCTTTGGGGTGGTGACAGATGGTACTCTGACAGCTCGTGGAAAGTGCGGGGTGCGCTCGGGCCGACATCGATGCGGCGGGTACGAATGACTTCACTCCGGACTATACATGTCCGCTAATATATACTTCGGATGACAGCCAGGGCTAGACGAGAGCCAACACTGGTCGTACCTCAAGATTGCAGGACTACACATACCGGAAAGTTTACGTCATGTCTAGTCTACCAGACAACATCCGCAGGGCGCTCGAAGTCCTACTTCCCAAGATCAAGTCGCAACATCAGGAGTCATCAAAGCCTATCATACTTGGTATCACTGGCCTGCAAGGATCAGGAAAGTCGACCTGGGCATCAGAGCTGGTCAAGATTCTGTCGAATGGCCATGGTCTCCATACGATCACAGTTTCACTGGACGATTTCTACAAGACGCATGATGAGCTAGTGGCCCAGCGGGATCGTGATCCAGATAACAAGCTCTACCGTACTCGTGGACAGCCTGGTACACATGATGAACAGCTGGCCCAGAAGTTCTTCGGTGATCTGAAAGAATATACTGGGAAAGGCGATCTCAAAATACCCAGCTTCGACAAGAGCAAGTACAACGGCGAAGGCGACCGGGCACCAGAATCAGAATGGCCAACAATCTCACAGAAGCCCGACGTTGTCGTCTTCGAAGGCTGGTGCGTCGGCTTCCGGCCCGTTGCACAGACTTTCATCGAAGAACGACATTCGTTGGCAAAAGCCGGAAAGCTCACAGTCAACACCCCTGCAAATCATCAGCTTCCTCATTTGTTCGAAGTGAAAGACAACCTCAAGCGCTACTGTGACGCCTTCATGGGACCTCAGCACTTTGACTTCTTCGTTCACATCGACACGGATGATCTGAGGAACGTGTACACGTGGCGACTGCAACAAGAGCACAAGATGATTGAGGTCAAGGGGTCGGGCATGTCGGACGAGCAGGTTCGCGCGTTCATTGATGGGTATATGCCGAGCTATGAGATATATCTAGAGCGCCTGCGCGAAGGACTATTTGATGATAAGGGTAGGATGGTTAGGGTGGTGTTGGACAAAGAAAGACGGGTTGAGAGGATTGACGAGCTGTGAAAGAGTAGGTGTTTACGTACCGATATGCAACCACTCCTGGGCGACTATAGTAGAGGACGAAAGCAGATAATGGACAGCAGAACTGGGATGCTGAACTGGTGATCATGAGATGGGGACATCCGCTTGATATCTCTTCGCAGCGTGCGCTTTATCCAACATACTCGCTTTCACCATCGCCACGCTTAGTTCTCTGTCGTTCTAGGACAACTGTATTTGCTAACGAACACCCCACCGCCAACGCCACCTCTTGGACTTTTGTATTTTTTCCTGCATTTGATCATGGCTAACGCGAACCACTATGAGGTCCTTGGTATTGATATCCAAGCTGATGACGCCGTGATCAAAAAGGCATATAAGCGAGCGGCGCTTGCGAACCACCCCGACAAGACCCTGCACTTGTCAACAGCAGAGATCGAGCAACGAACACAGATTTTCAAACTAGCGACAAATGCGCAAGAAGTCTTGCTTGATCCGGCGAAACGAAAGGCTCACGACAGAACGCTAGCGCGGGCAGTGAGACCATCCAATGCACCAACTGCGCCATCTCCCCCAGCCTCAGATACACCAGGTTTCCAACGACCTTCACCTCCAAGATCCGCACCGAGGCATCGCGACCCGTTCCAGCCACCAAGGTTCCACTACCCTGGTAGCCCAAGAGAACCTCCACAAAGCAACGCAACGCAAACACCGCCGTCTCCCCCACCACCACCCCGAAACACCCACTTCTTCACGGCAGGTACCCCAGACACTCATCCCCCACCAACCCCCTACTTCTACGCCCCCGTAACAGAAACGCCCCAACGCACAACCCTCACCTTCTCCAACAACGACAAATGGGCCTTCAGCATCGGCATATCAAAGAAGTACGAATGGACCCTGACTCCCAAACTCCCATTCCTGGGGGAAGAAACCAGAGAATGGATTGCGATAGAATTCCGCCTGCGCCGAACACCCACTTCCCCTGCCACCGTCTTCATCAGAGACGTCGTGCTGACCGTTGAGTCCACGCCTGACAACCGGAGTATAGCGGTGAGTTCCATCTTCGCCGAGAGGAAAGACTGTATAATTCTTCGGATCACGCTTGCAGGGATCGGTGCGGCGCCTACTCCTACTATACCGTTGCAGGTAAAGCAGTCTTGGATGTGGACGTGGGATGTAGACTTGGGCTTCCTGGTTCCGTTCTATAAGACGTTGAGAGCGACACACTTGATGTTTTATCCGCACTATCCGGCGCATGCTGTTGACGGAGATGGGGTGGTGCCGACCAAGGAACCTTTTCCGATGGGGTCGCCGGCGGCGGAGTTGGTGAGAGTGTTTGAGGGGATGGTATTTGTGGGTATGACGAGGCAGTTCTATTGTCAGGAGGTGAAGATGGAGGGGAAGACGTTTTGGCAGCTTGCTGCTGTTGGGCATGTTTGAGTTATATGGCAGAAGTGCGATGCCGGGTTGGAGGTATGTTGATCATGCTATATGTTGTCAGCATGTGAGGTAATGAAAGAGGTCGCTGCTACTGCAAGGATGGACTACATTGAATAGCGAATTTGTTGATAAACAATAATACTCTTGATTCTATGCTCTTATGAAACCAGACCGCTCAGGACGCCAAATATGCAAATCATCTAAAAATAATCTATAGGACACCAGGGATGGGTCCTTTCTTCTCGTTGGAGCCCAGCTCTTCCTCGTTCCATCCACTTCCGGCGCCAACCTTGCGGCCGCCCTCCTCTCGCTTGATCCTGCACCAGAGACTGATGTCCTTGTCCCAGATGAACTGCCAAATAACGTACACCCAGCTCTTGTGTTGCGGCAAATCTTTGTAGAAGTCGTGCGCGATACGGTTCAACGCGTGGAGGCGCGTCCAGGGGATCGCAGGGAAGTCGTGGTGCTCGTTGTGCAGACCGACGTTGTAGGTGAAGAAGTTGAGAGGTCCGTAGTACGAGTAGGTCTCGGGAAGTGGGATCTTGTTGGCGGGGTTCGACGGGTCCTTCTTGGGCTTCTCGAAAACGTAGTGTTCGGCGATGAAGTGGCCTGCGCACGGATGGAGAGATCCGGCGAGAAAGCTGCTCATGATCAGGTAGCCCAATGCCCTTCCTCCTGCGAAGCTGACAAGTGCGAAGTCGAAGGCTAGCTGTACAACGACGTTGAAAAGGTGGATCTTGGTCATTGGCAGGGCGTAGACGAACATAGGTCGGAGGGCGTAGAAGAGGATCTGGAAGGTCGCGAAGAAGGCCTTGCCAGCGACTGAGTCGAGGAAGATTGCCTCAAAGGCAGTGGGCAGATCCGTGTCGAGGCCATTGACGCCCAGCGACTTGTGATGTGTCAGGTGGTATGGCCTGAAGGAGGCGCTGTATGGAATGCCAATTGGCAGGTTCGCAAACACAGCAAAGATCCTGTTTGCCTGGGGCGATCGGAAAGCCAAGTTGTGCGATATCTCGTGAATGGCGAGAAAAAGATTCTGGTTGGCCGTGGCGCCGATTACGTATGCGGTAAGAAAGAATGTCCATGATATGACGGGGGTATTGCGAAGGAGGTATGCGCAGAGGATTTGAATCGAGACGACGAGTAGGACGACGTATTTAGTGAGAGGCTCAGGGCCACAGAGCTTCGTTACCTGTATTCGGTTAGGTGATGCTCAATGGAAACATTTTGATAGTAATCATACCTCAGGGTGTGCCTTGATAATGGCCATTCGCCGGGTCCTATGGGGCTCTTCGGTGTATGTCCAGAAAAAGTGGTCGTGTTCATTCGGGGCTTTTGGCTCCTGCTCCTTCTCCCCTTTCACGGTAAAGCTTCGGGGAACAGGCTCCTTTGACGGCACTGTCGCGGTAGAGACTGAAGACCGCATATTGGGCAGTCGTAAAGAACAATTGCAGAGTGTGTGAAGGGCAGAGGGGTCCAGCTCTCGAGGTTTGTGGAGTACTTGACCCTGAGCTTGGCGCTAGTGGAGGCGGTGGGGCGATCTCACGCCATGATTGGCTGACAATCACGTTCAGTTCGCCACCCCGCTAGCGCAGGAACGTTGAGCTTGCCTTCTAGAACACCAATTTAGGCCATGCTGAGGTCACCATTTTACGTGTAGAAGATATGTCAGATGGGCATTTTCATCTTCAATTCATCTGCATCTATAGATTGCTAGCCTCGCTGTACCACTCGCCACAATGGGCTACTTTCACCAGTCTTCAGTCGTCCGACTCCAAGTAAAAAGCCCATTGACTTCCCACGCCCTCTATATCGCCCGCGAATAGTTTCATCCCGGGAGAATACTTCTCTAGCCAATCCATAAAACGGGTATCACTCTGGTCCTTGCTGAATTGTTGGTTTGGGGGTCGGCAAATGATGAGACTGGGTTTCTTCGCTCGAGGCGTATTTGCGGATCCAGCGTGAGGTGTCCCCTCGCCCCAGGTGTGTCCAGCGAGGACTTGTCGAAGCGGAGTAGTCAGATTTAGCGTAATAAACGCGTACGCATTCTCATCTTGCCTTACTCCGTTCCATCCACTTCCGTCATTACTCGCGCGGACATTCACGAGTGGGCTGTGAGGTTCGGGAGGGTTGATGATGAATTCCTCTCGTAAGAATTTGATGTCCCATTCCGTGTAGTATGGATCCTCGAAGATGATCTCCAACGGAAGAGCATCAGGCCTTGAAATATTGTGTTAGTTTATATTCATAACGATGGTTCAGACTTACGAATTGGCCAATCTTGCTTTGTGGAGCAGAGCGCAGATTACCACGCGCGCCAAAAGATGGGCTCTGAGGGCTTGAACGAACTCATCGGACCCGTCCTCTCCCATTACAGCTCTGTTCATTGTGCCCAGGCCCATTACTAGCACTCTTCGAATGGTTGTTCGTGTATACAATATGTTTCCCAACTCATCATCGTATCCAAATCGTTCTGGCTTGGGTCGGTCTATGATGGAGTCGGGACGCTTTAGACCAGTGTAGCCGATCTTCGGCAACATCAGGGATGCTACCGGGGCGCCAAGGTTATGGTACCAATATGGTCTGATGTCTGGCGCATACCAAAATAGAGCGAATTCAGAACGCGTTTCTTCGATCCAAGGCGGACTATCTTCGGCGAGCTCTTGAGTGGTAGCATGCCTTCCTATACCCGTGTGTCCGACGTGAGCGACTTTGTCGTAATCTCTCCATGGTCCGCTTTCGTTGTCAGGCACCTGTGTGATGGCAGCCCTAATCATAGCCTTTTGTGAGTCAGGTATACGGTTGGTTGTTGCTGACGATTGGGCTTGCTGTGGTGCCTGCATGATGATGGACTTGTCTTCGTGGATTGTTGAGCTTGTGTCGCGAGAATGTATGTATGAATTTGGTGGTTGCAAAAGAAGAAACGTACCAGAGCTGCCTTTTATACTCCTCAGTCTATGACTCTGATATCGAATTGCTCAATACTACAGTTCTATCTATACGTTTATGACTGTTCAGTGAAACGTAGAACTCACCTCCGCGAGATGCTAAGACGGCTAAAATGGCGCACGAACCATCTGGTGCCACTGTTCATGATTGCAGCAATACTTGGACTCACACGCGGGCACTGGTGCTGTATCCCGATTACTCAAAGCGATCTGTTCAGCTCTGGTAACAGGGCTATCGTTCGAAGGCAACCGTGCAAGTGCCATTTCCGGGTATCTGAGGTGGTTGCGTAGTTCGCAACGACTCAAAGAACGTCGCACAATGATGCAACCTCTGGGCGTAACATGCGAGGAATGTAGCCATGGCAAATGCTCGGATCTTGTACAACCAATGTTCGGTTTGGCATGCAACCCCATTAACTCTTGTTACGGAAGTGTCATTGGAAGGCAGTGATTGCATGTCGTTGTACATATGATCTTATTACACCCCACAGTTGTGATGCAAGCGTTATACGTCAGCACAGCCATGGAGTGCCTGCACAAGCGATATCTATTTTGAGGTTTTCATTTAGAAATCTTTCCAACCCTACAGTGTGCTAGACATAGACGTCAACTGCTTAGTGTATGAGACTTCTATAATAGTCTTTCGCTGTTCTCGCGACAGCCATGAGCTTCCTTTCACACCTGAGCCGACTCATATCCCAGCAAAGTATCGTGCCGCAATACCCTCATGCATTTGTAGGAGCTGAAAACGAAGTTTCGGGTGCTAGGTATATAATCACAGTGTCATTCTATGGACTGCCTGCATCTAATTACACAACCTTGGAAGCCATGCATTGGCCGTCCCACACTGTAGTATACCATCCATCAATATATCATTACATCCTTCCGAAATCCCAATATGAACCTAAGCTGAGCCTTGTACACTCTAAGCCGAAGGGGCATTGCCCTAAACATTAGGCTTCAAGGTGTAGAGCCAGATGTCTCCCCCAAATATCTTCTCGTCCTCAAACTTATGTACTTGGTCGTAGTACTTTTTGAACCAGTCCTTGACATGGGGATCGGTCGGATCTTGGTATTCGCCTGACTTATTTGCATCTCGACAAATGATTGCGCGAGGCTTGATAAGCTTCCCCATAAGTATCCCTTTCTCTGCAGCTCTTTCACTGTCAGTCAGATTCTCGGTTTTAGAGAGTAACCTGGCAAGATATTGGCGAATAGGATTCATCGGGTTGAGGGTGATGAAGATGTAGTCGCCGTTGCCTCCGTCAGTGCCCCACCAACCCATACCCTCGTTGCTGGTGTAGGGTCTGATGCGCCTGTCACTGAGCCATCCCTCCCGTCCATCGCTCAGGTAGTCCGTGTGGAGAAAGTTGAGATCATATTTGCCGTAGCGGACATCCTCGCAGACGAAAACAGCCCCCCTTAGTGGATCGCCTTTTCCGGACTCCTTGGATTTGTTCGCCGCGTCGGACAATACCTTGAGAATGTTGAAAGCGAACAGATGTGCCCGCGCGGCGATCTCAAATTGGTGGTCTTCGCTGTAGCAAAGACTACCAAGATCCATTGCTACGATGTTTCTGATGACACCACCAGCCTGGTTGAGGTCATCCAACAGCTTTGTGTGCCAGTAATCGTCGTATTCCGGAAACTTCCTTTCTTTTCCCTCTTCTTTAAGAACAGTGAAGCGTGATTGGACTTTGCTTGGAGGGCGCTTCCATTCATAAGGCCTCCCTTCGTTGATCTCAACCCAGTAAGACTGGATGGATTTTCCTTCACTTTCGATTTCTTCCGTGGTTTTGTAGCGCCCAATTCTATCATAATATTCATTGTGGTGTTCAAGGTCTTTAGGAGTCAGTTTGGGCGGCGGTTTAGCCGGTGGGCCCATCGCAGAGGACATCTTTGGTTGTGAATAGACCTGAAGGCGACAAGTCCGAAGTTGCTGCTGTAGTGGGCGCTAATTTGTTGGCGGTTGATATGTGTAGCCGCTGGACTGATTGTCAGGCTGTTGAATACTGTCTTGTTAGTGTAGAAGTAATGAAATACCGGAACAGGTCTTTTATAGTGTAGAAATGAGTGACTGTACTCAAAAGGAGTAGCATAGCGGAAAATTACGTGGCTCCCAGTGGGTAGAGTCAGTCATGGTAGGTCAGTCACTGCGAGCGCACTCATGACCACCTGGTGGTTTTACCAGCCTTCGTTGTGCCACCTCAGAGAAGTTGATATGACTCTGACGGAAGCGAGTATCCGTGATAACCAATCGTTGGCACGTACCGTTGAGGACCAACTCGACACAAAGAAACTCAGAGCTTTGACACAACTCAGAAAGTGACTCTCCCACGCCGCACGAGCCTTGGATCACACCCCAATATGGACACTCTCCACACATGACTCTGATCTGACTGAATATGCTGGAAAACATGCGAGCAAGTACCGATCAGCACCGGCACGAGTCGGGTGTGTGCACGTTCACCATAGTACGAGATACTCAGGAATGTAACGCACAGTCAACCTGGATGCTTTTGCTACGATGTGCCGCGTACGACATGTGAGCGGGGTATCATAATCTTTTCGTTCCTTTTACGTCACTCCATAATTCTTTCCCAATGTTCTTCCAGTTCCCGACCTCTTCATCACTTCTCTTTCTCCTGGTGAAGCCTGATCGCCTGACTTCCACGAGCCATATCACGCCCCAATAAGCGACCGACAACGACACTAGTACATATGCCAGCCATACGATCAGAAGTACTGATGTGCCTTGATCCAGCTTTCCACCAGCAACGTCGATGATGTCACCAGCCACCGAGAAAACCCCAGAGATCAACACCGTGAGCAACACGGCGGCGACGAAGGCGAATGCGCTCGCAAGGAACGGCCAAAAGATGTTGAAGTAGGCGAGAAGTTTTGAGTGTGGAAAGATGATGGCTGGAATGGCGGAGACGGCGGAGAAGCCAGCACCGACGAGCGAGACGAGTAAGGAAGCGAAGACGGTGTATCGTACGCCGGCCAACACGGTAGCCATAGTCCTCAGGAGTGTCGAGACTAGGATGATTGGGGAGAGTGGGTCTTGAGACCCGTTAGTTGGCGTTGTCAGTGTTATTAGCCCTACAGAAGTATGGTCAGTCAAGCCTCAAACACCTTCGTAGTTGTGTTACTTACTGTCGCTGGCTTCGCGATAGCTTTCGCATAGTTCTACGACAATAGTATCGGAAGCATCATCTTGAGCATCGGAAATAGAGCCCGAACAAACTGTCCTGAGGTAGAGATAGTAGACGTCTGCTAGTGTCTCGCCGTCCACGCTTTCCGATCGTTGCGATGTTGCATCTAACTGCGAGCTCTCTCGGGCGATCGTAGTTGTATTCAGCTGCAGTTCGTCAACATCTGTCTTCATTTCACCGAGGTCGGTATACGTACTGCCACGATGTACTGTCCACCAAACATATGTTCATCGCTCCCCGCCAGTACCAGTACCAGCGTGAAGACGAAGCTTGCGACCGCGAATGCGATCGAAAGGATCGCAGAGAACCGGTACTTCATCAACACCCTCTTCGGTGTCTTGGGCGGCGCCGGCAGGGCCTTGTCGGTAGACTTCCGCAAGTCTCCAAGATCGGGCTCGATTGCGATCTCTTTCCCCGTGTAGAAGGTCTCCTCTATGTGATCCATCTTGCTCATCGACACACCGTGTGGTTGAAAGGCGGTAGCGGCGAGACTGACAGTGCTGACGGATGTCAGTACATAAGGACGGGTATATGATGTCCATAGCAGAAGACATATGCACTGTCGCAGAGAGATGATAAGTAAGGCGCTTCAATATGTGTGCAGCATGACGCAACTGTTCCTGGTTATCGGGAATCTTCAATCTCGATGTCTGGGAAGCATGGATGTACGTGGTAGGCTTGTCGCATGATCATAGTGTTGCATGATGGACCTGCTATATACCGTCGCGGATACGGCACATGTAGCCTTGCGCGGGGATAGACCGGTGGTTTCAAACAGCCTGCTAGTCGCCAGATCGCGATGGTTGTGCGAATTTGGCGATCAGCGTTCCTGTTTCGGCGTCGCAGGACGTGGCCAAAGCGTGGCATTGAGCAACAACCAGCTTCAGATGGATGGGGTCTGAGATGTTTCGTCGACATCCAAACAACTTGCGCATGGCCGGGCCCACGCATCGGGAGTATGTGTCGTGCCGGACTGATAGCGGTCGTGAAGTTCGCGAATGCGAGGTGGTAGCTTCCGCAGAAACGGGGAGCGCTTCACTAGTGCGACTGAAACGCCGAACTTTAGGAGCGACGATCGTGGCCTCTCCACATAATGCTTGAGCGATACCACGTCGCTCAAGTACATTTGCCAAAGCCTTTTGGTTGTCGGAGAGTGACTGAGAGTTGGTAAGATACTCGAACGCGCAGTTTTTCTACTGCTAGAAGAACGATCCTGGGGGATATTGTCCAAGAGGATGCGGCTGGAGGTTGGGAAACGCATCGCCCTAATCATGGGTTAGTCCAACAGCACCTGATGAGCCGAGCTAAACGTACCCAATCGAGAGGTAAGGTATACTGGTCCAGATCCATTGGCATGAAGCCAAAATCGAATGGGTGACCAAAAGCACTATTGCCCATGTCAAATGCATCCGAGTCGGGAACAGCGAATCCAAGATCGTTGGTGTCGAAAATCTGGGATGGGGAAGTCAAATCAAGTTGGGCACCTATGTGAGCCGCTTTCGATGACGTTAGTAGATGTAAGCGGGTAGTGAATAAGATGCGGCTCACCGTGCGCCGAATCGGTAGCCTGTACCCCACTGCCGTGAACTTTAGAGAGAACAAGCTTCACGGCTGTAGCAACCTTCCGTGCCTCCTGCGATCTCTTGCTAGCCCTGATCCAGATGTGATAAGCGGAGCGCAACGACGCGACGATTTCCTCTTGCGTCGGGGACGCTTGGTCCAGTTGCACCCCGCTTTCCATAAGCTCAGAACCCAGTGGGATGGGAGCAATGAGTTCCTCATCAAGCTCGACTACCAAGATGGTAGTCGCGAGTAAGAAGTCTTGCGCAATAATGGAAGACATGTACCAGCTCAAGGTAGAGAGACGCCACCCTGGTGAAGTTAGTCGACCTCCTGGTTGGACCTCAGCGTCAAGCTTGCTCTGGAGGCGAAGCATCTCTATAGCAGCGTTCAAGCAGACCCTGCGGGAGTATGTATATCTGCTATCGGTTCGGCCGAGTACGAAGTAGGGTCGATGCAACATAAGCTCGGCCTTCAAGAAGGCTACGTTCAAATACGTGTAGCGCATGAAGTCTGGTGATAAATCGGTACTAAGATCGTCGAAGGTGTTTGATGCTGGCGATTGTGGTATCTTTTCGAAGACATCTCTTAGTGTGGCGTCCATCTCCGTGATCTCTCCGTACGGTGGCAGCGATGTAGCATTGACGAGATCCACAATCCTGGCCTGCACACTTCGCAACCTTGTGAGAACGATCGAATAAAGTAGTTGCGTCAACTCAGTTTCGGGCCTTGAGGGTGGTAGCTCTAGCATGTCTTCGTGAAGGTCGTCCTCACCCAAGTTGCGGGGCTCTTGAGTGTCGTACATTTGCGGCATGATCGTCCGTGGCAGTCCGGCTTGAGAAGAGGTGGTAAAATCTAGCGACATGACTACGAGCCATTTACGACGTCTCAGCTCACCTTCGTGAGGCGAGATGTTCGGAAATCTCGACGGGTCCCTGTGGTATCCCATTCGGAAACAAAGACGTACAAGCATGCCAACAAGCATGTAGATGCTGAACTGGCTGTCGGTTGAGCGTAGGAATTCGGTACCAAAATACAATAAGAACGCTTCGATCGTGTATGGCGGTGTTTTGGTATAGTTTGCAAGAATCATACCTAGATATCGACGTGCGGACTCAGCAATTGCGTCACATGTAGTTTGTACTCAGCTTCTGCTTACATTGCGCAGCCTTCTCGCGATAGAAGTTGATCTGCACCAGATCAGGAGCCAGTTCAGTCTCGCCAAGCTGATGAGTGTTCACCGCGGCTTGGAAGCGAAAGCCGAGAGCCAGTGCAGCGTAAAGTACACCCAACCACATCGTTGAAGTTTCGAATGGTTGTCTCCATAGCTCATCGTACTGTATGGCGATTAGCTACCAGAGGTGGAGATGACCATATGGTCTCACCTGTTTAAGAAAGGTCGGCTTGTGAATGAGGGCTGGAGACATCAGTGGGCGCTCTTCAATCGAGGTAGTGAACATACTCGGGTGTGATTCCATTGATATGAAGAATGTATCAATGAGTCGATCCGCTTCTGACCGTGGAGGAAGAGCAGCGAAGAGCTCTTCTCTAGTCGCATGGGCATTACGTCCAAACAGCAGCTCTGGACCGGGTACTTCATTCACCACTTCATCATCCGGATCGGGCGATACGGGCACCTGGTCGAGATGTTCGCGCAGCTCCGATATCTGGGCTGGAATTAGAGAGGTAAGAGTCTCTGTGAGAGGTTTCACGTACGCTATCAAGTATGCTTGTCCAATGTCCACTGTTCGTATAGCTTGTTGCATCGCAGCTGAGATTTACGCGATCCGGCGTGCCAGGCAAGTCACCATTGTTTCCTCCGTTATGATGTTGCCGCGCTTGTGATGGGCTGGATAGCGCGGGATTAGCTGTATCAACAGGATTTCCACCGATGAGGTTGGTGACGAGCTTTTCGAGTTGGTCAATCCTGTCATGGACGCTGTTTGGGATCTTGGGTTCCTTCTGCGCTGGTGGGTTGCGAACATAGACGCACGACAGCGAGAGTCCGCGATCGACACATGTTTTGCATGGCTGTTGTCGATCACATTTCAACCTCCAGACAATTAGCATGCAATTCTTCCGGTCAGGTAAGCTGATTCTTTACTTGCGTCGTCGACAAAGGGTGCAACTCAAGATGGGCTTGTCTCTTCGTCGACTTGGAGGTACCACTCTCGGCGTCTGACCATCCGCGCTCATTTCGAGTGGTAGTATCACAGTGGGTCAAAACAAGGCGTAAGGGCACAACTCGCGTTGTTACGAAGATGCCTTCGGGGCGGCCATCATCCCCGATGCCGAGGCTAACCGCTTCGGCCGAACACCCCCCGCATTCCATCTCAGCTTACGTCACTGTCAGCAATCACAATGTTCCTAGTTCGCGACTGCACCGGTGGAGATTATCCTAAAGACCGTTGCATTCTAATCATCCTTCTCGTTGTCCGACCATCTAAATCGCTGGCACACATGCTAAAGCCGCCATCTATCCAGTTCCTGCTCCGCCTGGTCATAGCCTGTGCTCCACATGGGCACAGTTCCGATCACGCGATCCCCGACTCAGCTTCCGGTGGCAGTCAATAGACTTTGTTTATTCAAGGAATCGGGCTGTCGCTCCTAACTTTCGGCATCACTACAGACTATCATGTGCCCATTCATCAAGCGATTACAGTTACGACCTGTCTTATTTTTCTGGGTTGGGCGAAGGTACCTTTTCGAAGTCTTCATCCATCCTAGAGGTATGACATCCAGTTCATCTCCATGGAAGTATGCCTGTAAAGCAGTGTCCCAAAACAGGCGCCACGATTCAGACTTGACATTCCGGAGGCCGATACGCTTAATGGCATGCTGGGGCGCGCGTTGAGAATGTGGAACCAGGCGACACACAGGTTTGAACCAAATCGTGGCAATCGTCCGGTTTTGCGGCGTGGATAGAATGGACGTTAGGTCTTCCCACCTCTTGAAGTCTCCAATATCGAAGGTGGACAAGCGGTAGAAGAGTGGAGTCGCTTCACAGCGCATTTGCTTACATGCGAAGAGGAGGCCAACAGGCTCGCGGTTAAAGATTGGCGCACCTTCGTATGTGGACGAAACCGACTTGATCTTTTTGCCTAGACAGCTGTATTCCCAGATCTTATTACGCAGCTCACCAGGAAGCCGAAGAAGAGCTGAGGTAAGCCGATTTCTCTTTGTACTATGCCTATTAGCGATTGATCAACAAACATGCAAGACCGCTTACATGGCTCTAACTCTATTGGGAGCCGTATTCCAATCCTGCATCTCTGAAGCAAGTGTTGAGGACATGGTGATGTTTGAAGTTGGACACTGGAAAAGAATACTGAGAGAGTGTAGATGTTTAGATGTAACTGCGGGTTTAAGAGCGCGTGGGAGTTTAATGGCCGTGCCTCAGCTCAAGCTTTCCGGGAACATACGATTTTCCATTCACCCTTGTGCCTTGACGACCTGCAATCGACCCGATACATACGTTGTGAAAACGGAGTAAGTCACTGGCAACTGACAATGACCAGAATCGGCTCGCCTTCACGGTTGCCCATCATCGGCAGCTCTCAGGATACCCTCCAGTCCTGCCTCAAATACAATCTCGATGGCTGACTTTCCATAAACAAGGCGAAATGCGCGCACAAGGTCAGCCCTAGTATCAGAACTGAGGGCTGACAATTGTAGCCTCGAACCTTTGACGTGAACCGTGTTCAAAGCCGGGAACGCGTTTGCGTTAGCCCTCCCTTGAGGTTCAACCTCTTCCTGGAACCATTTCGCCGGGTAAGCCCAGTGTACATATTGGAATTCTACCGACGACATAGAGGTTTGAATCGAGGTGATCCGCGCACACCGCTCAGCTCTAATGGCGACGATAGCGGCTTCGTGGCTATAAATCATAGCCAGTTCCATTTCGAAGGTCGCTGTAGAATAGAAGAGTGAGTTGGCTTCACGGCGGAGCTGCCGACAGCAGCAAATGAGACCGATAGCGTTGGTCGCGCTTTGTTCGCCTTTCCGCGGGTGCATACGTATCACAGAATCTGTCAACGTGAATAGATAGACGAGGTTACGAAGTTCTGCAGGAAGTCGTAGAAGAGGCGATATAAGTTGGTTGACCTGCGCGCTATTCCGGTCAGCGATTACATCCCCATGTCTTGAACAGTATTGTACGCGTTAGCCTTCAAGGTGGAGAGCTTACATTTGGTCGCCTGTTGGAGTCGTCAGACCGGTCGATTCAGGGTTGAGGGCCATGATGCAGCGGTCACTGTAGTAAATCGTAGTTGTTATGCTCGCAAAGTGGAATGGAGGAACGAAAACGGACGGAAGTGTTGCCCTTCAGTCTTGATGGTCTGCCCGATCAGGCTAGCTGCTTCGTAGGTAGGTAATGACGTCGTTGGCCGCTACCTCTAGATATCGCAGCTTCTACCATCTCGCACCTCAGCAGATATGTGCAGTGCGGAAGCTATAGCATTCCCATAACGAACTTCGCGGCGATTAGTCAGGCTGTCTACAGGTCATCGAGGACAGAGATGTCGCCAGTCTTCGCTACACTCCTGATGCGTCGCTCGCAACCCCACACGCACTCTTCCGCCACCAAAAAGCCTCATTAATAGTTTGCCCGGCCTACGAGTTCGACATCCGACTCCGAGAGGTCCTCGCGTTTGACTTGAATATCGATAGCCTTCGAGATACCACCCAGAGACAGTCGATGACCTGATCTTCGTATACGACAGCGATCGTCACTAGAGACGTAGCTGCTCTTCCCGGAGCCTGAGGATATGCTGCATATCCTTGAAACTGTATGCTGGTATATCGCATGCATGGCAGGCATGCATGCGACTACGATGAAGAGGTTGGCTTCGGTTGCACACCAGTAAAGACCGGATACGTTGTCGTCTATGATTGCGCGGTCAGTCATTGTGCAGCCAACAGGAGGAGCAGTACTCACAAGTCGGATTTGAGCTCTGATCAAATCGGACGAGAGCCCATAAGCGAAGGCAACTGACGATGAAGATGATGAAGCCCACAGCGAACATAGAGATAATTTGGACCTTCTTCTTCCAGGACATCTGTAGTCTCGCTAGCATGGGCAAATGCAACGATAGGATTGCCGCGTCGAGCATGATCTCAATGGCGCCGCGAATGAATCCAAATAGCCGAACGTCGACAGTGCATCGTCCACTAATTTCGCCTTTCCACCCGTCCCAGAAGAATGAGATAGGCTGACATTGGAACATCATAGCTCCTGTATTACCAATGCCAAAGCAGGTAACGATCCCCATCAGAATGTACGTAGACGTCCTTAGTCTTGCCGAGGTTGCGATCCGCAGGTAAAAAGCCAGGATAGACAGTTGACAAAAGGCTTCTGCGATTTGGTACATGAAATAGCTAACGTACAACCACTGCAGCGAGATTTAGCTTCATAACGGGCGCTAAATATGAGAATTACCTTGAAGCTATTTGTTATCGCCGCTGGCGATATCCCCCACATGTCTCTTCCGAATCCGAGACGACCCGCTACGAGGCTCATCAGTCGACCATTCCATCTATAGATGGAGTATTGGGAGGGATTTACCGACAATGACAGGGACGTTCTGAAATAACGAGGCCAACTACCCTTCGTCAGCTCTAGCGTCCCGCACGCTCAACGCTCATGACTTACCCCAGCCAGCCCGATGAGTAGGTCGTCCAGCCCAAGCTTTGCCTTGGCTGAGAAGAACCGATCTGTCAGTCGCAAGATAACCATTGTTACAGCAAGAGCGCCGATAGATGCCGTGACAGCGATCATTGTCTCGCTCTCGTCCCGGATCGGTATGCCGCAAGCCGCGTAGGTTTCGTTGGTCGCACTGAGTGATGCGGAAACAGTACAGTTTTCAGCATTACAATTCGCGGATGCTGTCTGAAAGGTGGTGTCGGCACACAGACAGTCGAAGTTGTCGGGCTTGCAATTGCTCGAGGGTATAAGAGCTTGGAAACACTTTGCCTATGGTTCTTAGCCGCTGGTGCCACGAAAGGTCGGTCATCGACTGACTGCACAAGTTGGTAGTTTTCGCAGAAAATCGTCTTGTGCGAGTATATGTAGCACTAAGATGGCGAATGTCGCAAAGTACTGGACGAACTTCATCGCGACGATGATCGAGTGGGAAGGTGCGCAGCAGCGCAAGATTTGTTACCAACAAAGCGTTGGGGGTAGATGTTCAACATGACGCATAATTCATAGCTCAGGTCAGTGACGATCCGTTAAGGGGATTACTTTCTTGAGCATCTGACAGCTCGCAGGATCCGATGGATCATGGACGTTGTTTCAGTCGCCCTGTCAAACTACCATGCCTTGGAATGATCCGCGCGCAATAGGAGACCATCACTGGTGGACTCTAGGGCTTGCCATTCCTTGACAGGTCTGTGCCGCAACCGATAACATTAACGTCCAGAATTTGACAGATTTACCCTTTCGACACGGCCCAAATCCTGCGGGATTGCTACGCTTTATTCTACTGGCGGAAATGTTCTCGAGCACTTTGTATTTGCATTGATGCGGCGCAGCCGTTCTAAGCGAACCGTCATCACGCAGGAAGATACTGATATGGCGAAGGATCTGGCTTGGCAGGACAGGTATATCTCGATCATTTTACAATCCCGGCAACTGCCTTTCCTCATCACTGTCATCACCATGTCTATCGTATTATCAGCCACGATCGCTATTGCTTTCGCTGCATTTGCCATACTTTACGCCACCCGTTGGCATCTGGAGAGAAAGAATGCGAGACCTCTTCCCCCGGGCCCAAAGGGCCTCCCGATTATTGGAAATGTCAACGATATGCCCAAATCCGGCATGCTTGAGTGCCACCACTGGCTACGACACAAGGATGTCTATGGCCCTCTTAGTTCCGTCACAGTGCTAGGGCAAACTTTCATCATCATTAACGACCCTGAGATCGCATTCGAGCTGTTGCGCGATCGCTCAGCGATTCATTCTTCGAGACCCAGCCAGACCTTTAGTGGTGACATGTATGTGGAGAGCTCCATAATAAGATGAGGGAA